CCCTTGGGAGCTCACACAGGGTCATCACCCATCACCGTACCGGCGTCTTGTGTCCCCCTACACTTTCCACCTGCCCCGCACACACCCTGCCGGGGGCTCCCCCTTAGCAGTCAGCCTGGGGCAAACTCACAGTTGTTACTCGGGGCCTGGGGGGCCTGGCCCTTTCCTTTCTTCCTGTTCTGCTTCCTCTCTTCATCTCGAATTTTCCTTTCTGCACCCTGTCGGGGAAAACACTGGGAGGTTAAGGGAGCAGGGAGTCCTGACACACACATCCGGGGATCAGAAACCCCACCTTTCCCCCCCAGGCGCTCGGCCTTCAGTGAAGACAGCACTGGGGAGCCCGCACTTCCCTTCTGATACGGGAGTGAGTCCTGGTGTCCGAATTCTTCCTTTTTTTGTTTTCTTGCTTATTTAGAAAATGTCAGTTTTGAACCCATATAGAAAGCCCAGGTCCTGGTCCCCAACCAGGTGAGGCCACTAGGAAACTTTACGATTATCACAAAACGCCCCACGATGAAGCGCTGGCCCTCAGTCACTTGCAGACAGGGACAGGGCTTCACAGCCACACGTGACTCCCTGTCACGAACGTTGGAGGATGGTCCAGCGGGAGAGACCGGGAGGGTGTCCACTGCTCCCTCGCGGGCGATCACAGATGGACGGGCCGCTGTGTCAGCGTGCTCTGGGCATCCGTATCAGCGTTGCGCCGTTCTTAGAGAGGGGACTTATTCATTCGATCAGACAGGAAGAAGCAGCACCCGTTCTCCCCTGTCCTTTGCAGTTTGACTTTGTCATTATCTCTTCCGGCCACACGGCCAAGTCCTCCTGCTCACCTGATGGTCACCACTCTTTCTTTCGTGGCCCGTGCCAAGGCCTGGTCAGCCTTCTCTTGTCAGTGGCCAACTCGTTTTTGTCTTTCACACCCAGGAACAGAGGCTCTATCTAGCACAGCGCTCTGGCCACTCCCTCCACGCCTTGCGAGGACTCATCTGCACCCCTGGACCCCGCCTGCTCCTTCCCTGGGCTCAGCCTGTTCCCAGCTCCACCCTGTGCAGCAGATTTAAGGGGCGGGGAAGCCCCAGAGGCCAGCATCCCTCATGCCTTTGGAAAGTGCCCCCAAAACATCACCTACAGAAGGGAGACCCGGAGTGTAAGACTTTAATCTCATGCATGCAAAAGAACAGAACAAAACAGAAACCCAAACTAAAGTGCAAAGGGGATTGGTGAAAATACTTGCCATAAAGTATCACACAGAGTGTCAAATTCGAACTGTACGATGATTTAAACGTAAGAGCTAACAGACTAACGGGAAAGGGGCAGGGGCCGGGAGATGAAGCGTGCGCAGAAAACACAATGGTGGTCTGAATTAGACAGTGAGGCATACTTTTGGGTGATCACAGTGGCTCCTTTAATAGTCAGACTCCTAGCTTTAGCCAGATGGGGTACGGCACAGTGGGGTCTGTGACCAGCAGAGCTATGGCAAAGGACATGGCCTTTGGGCCAATTCCCAGAGGACCCTTGCTTGTGTGAACGCTGGAGAATGATCCAGTGGGACAGACAGGGAGGGCATTCTCAGTGGACCCTTGATTAAGGACTCAATCTGTTCCCAAGGACTGGTTGTAACTCAGGTTGGTCAGTGCAGGCTCAGGCTCCTCTCCACAGCCCTCAGAGTCTCTCTCCTGCACACAGGCAGATCTCAGTGTCCTTAGAGAGACGCTGGCCCAGGATCTCTCAGGGAGCCCCACACAGGACGGGATGCTGTCATTTTCCTCCCTGAACACTTTAAGGGTTAAATCTGTGTCTGAGACCATCTGAAAGCACAAGCGGCCCAGCACTGGGGTCTTAACTCAAGACTTTGGTTATAAGTTAAACTAAAATTCCGTTTGTAACCCAAGTTGTTGGTATGTCAGGTCAGTTGTAACTCAAGGGTCCACTGTAATAGTGAATGTTCACCTTGCTTACTTGGCTTACCTGGCTCTTACTCTGTGCCAGGTATTTTCTAGTGGGTAAGATAAGTTAGCCAGATAACTTAAATATGCTTTTTGTTTGCATGTTTGCAGTACTGGGGGTTGAACCTAGGGCTGTCACGGTAAGCCAAATCCTCAGCCTTTTCATTTTTATTTTGAGACACTATCCTGGTAAACTGCTGAGTTGCCCAGCGTGGGCTCAAACTTGCAATCCTCCTGCTTCAACCTCCCAGAGTGCCGGAATTACAAGGCATGTGGCACTATACCCAGCAAATATGCATTTTTATATCAAAAAACTACCAAAGGAAGTAAATGTTTTATACTGCTTCACTTAAAGTTTTAAGTTGTTATTGATACAGATCATGGAAATCCATGGCAAGATGGAGATAAAATACAGAAACTCCTGCTTGGGAAATCTCTTTAAGCTGTAATTCTGCAGGGTCTGTAGATGACACTGGGGGGAGCCAGGATTCACGGGAGCTCTGCACAATACCACAACTGCTACAAGTGAGTCTGGGTCTTTATTTTCTGTTTATGCAGACACTTCAAGGTTGGTCAAACAACTGTGCTATATCTGTGAGGAATGCAAATGAAATTAATCTGTTGTGAGAGGTATATGTTTTATGCAGTTTTACGAAATAAAGCCACTTGCTTATTATTTTGCAGGCAGTCTGTGATGTGCTAAACCCAGGTGATTACCGTAGAACCCAGAGCAGCTCTGCTGAGCGCAGCCTGGTGGCACTACTGTGAAAGGCATTTCCTGTCCAGAAGGCCTGAATATCAGCGAAACAATTCGGATCAGATCGCATTTGGGAGAAATGCAGCTCCCCAAGGGGTCCTGCAGTAAAGCTTTAGACCGTGAAGATGGAGAAAGCCTCCTCAACCAAGACCTCCTAGAGTTCCTTTCCTTCGTAGGGTATTTGTGACCTGAAGCTTCTACACAATATTACTTGTACTCTTATTTTTAAAAAGTTCCTAAAGGTTGGGTTTGCTGTGAAGACCAAAGTTATCACTAGACAATAATCTCCCTCACCTGATTTCCATTCACTACCGAGTACTAAACCTGACAAATATGCCTCGAGTTCCTGCTACAGCTGGGGAGTATGTTGCAACCCTGTAATCCCAGCACTTGGGAGGCTGAGGCAGGAGGATCACCGCAAGTCCAAGTTCAGCCTGGGCTACACAATGAGTTCAATGTCAGCCTAAACTACATAGCGAGCGAGACCCTGTCTCAAAAGGAGTTCCTGCTTATACATCGTGATCACGTTTGCCAACACGAGAGGTGGTAGCAATCTCTGCCGTTTACCTAACATTTAATTTTTCTTTTAAGAATTCTTATTTAAAGTTCTATGCAAGATATAGTTACTGTTTGCAGACATACGAAATTCTTATTTTTCATAGAAGATCATGCATTTCATGGAAGATCAAATATAGAGATGAAGATATTACACAAAGGTACTGATCTTCATGGTTAAATAGATCCTGGGTTTTTTAAATGCATAAGAATATGCATTTCAATGGCAATCTCAGAGTATAAAAAAAAAATTAGACAATGCCTGCATTTTCATCTGCAGGTTCGCAGGTATATAGAACAGAAATCAGACTAGAGAACCCAAAATACTGCAGAAATCCATCTGTTTAAGACACTACTCTAGAGCCAGGCATGGTGTCCCACGCCTGTAATCCCAGCACTCGGGAGGCTGAGGCAGGAGGATCGCTGTGAGTTAGTGACCAGCCTCGGCTACATAGTGAGTTCCAGGTCAGTCTCAACTACACAGTGAGACCCTGTCTCAAAAAACCAAAAAAAAAAAGGACACTAGTCTGGGACTGGAAACTTACAGATTTAAAATGGAATAACTCTATCCTTTGCTCTAGCAAGATATTTCAATTTAAGCATTTACATTTGCACATCATTTAAAAAGTGCAAAAATAAAACTTGTATTTGGGTTTTTAATCCCCTGCAAGTGAATTTTGCCTGAATTTGCAAATTAGAGCTGCAAATGACAAATTATAGCAGAAGACTATAACTACTTTACGAGAGAAATTCAGAGCGATTCAGTTCATCCACCTACACAGCCCTTGAGGTTTCCTCCTCCCTGCCCTAACATTAGGGTTTGCAGGTACCCACTGTGTACTTGAAATAAATGCCAATCATTTTCCCAGTGGTCTCCAACCCTTTTCTCCTACTTAGTGGTGACATTTATTAGGCCAATATTCACAATAGGAATTAGTAGAAATGCCACCCATTTTCTGACTTTCAAAGTATATTTTACTGGCTTCTTCCTGGGTTTTATTCATGTTTACAAACATGCTCACAGAAGTGGCTCCCCGAGTACTTGTCTCCTTGCTGGAGGTCACCCTGTTAGCATGACTCCAGGAAGCAATGCTTTGGGGAAACGCACACGATCCTCTTTCTCATTCTTTTTTAGAGATGTATGGCTGTGTCTAGATGTCCACCCTGTGCCTCATGCAGTCACAGGTGTGACTTTTTCCAGAGGAGGCTGGATCTGGGGTATATCATTGATTCATCCTGCAATGCTAGGACCGAGAGTGCTACGATTAAGGGTGGGTGATTACTAAATCAATCCACGGATTGGTTTGGCACCACACTAATTCCAGTGGCCTGGATACACTGTAAGGGACAGAAAGAGGCATGTCTTGTCCTTTGCTTGCTTTGCCGCCTTCTGCCCGCCATGAGCTATTTCTCCTCTGCGATGCCCCTCTGCCATGCCATCCTGCATGAAGCCAGCCGACCGTAGACTGAAACCTCTACAAGCTGTGAGCTAAATAAACCTTTCCTCCTTTAACTGTGGGTGTTAGATATTTTGCCTCAGCAATGAGAAAAGCAACTAAGACAAGATGTAAAAATAACTATGAAAGAATGTTTATAGAATAATTTCCAGAGTGCTACGGGTGTGGCTCGGGTAGAACACTTGGCAGCATAAATGAGGCAATGGTTCAGTCCCCAGCACCACAAAGCAAAAGCAAAAACACCTTCAAACAAAAGGCGCAATCGTCATTCTACTTGTGCATTTAGCTTCTTACAATCCCCATTATTCTAGGGCAGCACAGGGTAACAGCAATGTAATGCGACTCCATTCATTCTGCTGGTTGGGGTGTCTCTTCCTCTGGTAGTCAGTGCACCAGCACTAGAGTGAGATGGTCTCATGAGCACAGCTCAGCCCTTCTCTGTCCCCTTCAGCTCCAACCGCCAGTGTTAACAGGGCTTCCAATCTCTCTCTGCCAACCGTCCTTCCTCCTCTTCCTCACCCCTCCTTTACTCGTGGAGTAAATCCCCAGGAGGGGAACTCTCCCATCTTCCTGGGAGAGTCTGGGACCAAGAGAATTTGAGCCACTCACAGACTCTCCCATTTGTACCCCTAACAGTTCCATGCTGTTCAGGATTTTAAAGTGTTTTCTTTCCTCTTTTCCTTGTTTGTTCTGTTTTGTTGTTGTCTTGCTGTGTCACCTGGGCTGGGCTCAAACTCAGGATCCTTCAGGCTCAGCTTCCCCAGTGGCTGGGACTGCAGACACGCGACACTGAGAGAGAACTCAAACTGCTCTGTGAAAGTCTAATGTGGTAAACAAAACACAAATCGCTTGTGCTCTTTTTAAGGGTACTTGCCCTTCCCTTGAGGCTTCGCAGCATCAGTTACCTTTCTGATACCCTCTGCACCAAGCTGTCCATCGGCGCATGGAACATGCTCTCGGAACCGGACTGCACTGAGTCTAGCTCTTCTGCCCCACAGTCCACGTGACCACGGAGCACACTGCTGTGTCCTGCTCTGTGCCCGTGAGCCGGCCCCACTGTCCCTCAGACTGCAGTGCCGCTCCGAGCACCGGTGACCCACACCAGCTGGAAGTGTCACCGCCCGAAGGCTGTCGTGATGTAGGGTGGTGGCTGCGAGGCTGTGAGCGCTGTGGCGCTGTCCTCTCTCTGCCCACCGCTCCTGCCCCTCCCCTGCTGCACACCAACGTGGAGGATCCTGCTGGCCCTGCCGTCTCCTCCTCCTCGTCCTCGCCGGAGTGGACTCGGACACCGCACTGACTCGCGCCAGTGCCCAGGGCAGTGGGCCAGCTCTCCGGTTCTCACACAGCCCGCGCTCCCCGCGTGTGGAGCAGCTGTACCACCTGCCTCACTGCCAGGCTCTTCGCGCGCTCGCCTGGGCATCGGACTCAGAGCCATTGTCTGAAGTTTTCTCTCATCTGCTTTCTCAGGAGGGAGCACCAGCTGGAGTTTTAGGGCTTTTGTTGGTGTTTTACTTCGTGTTCCTACAGTCTTACTCTTGGAAGAAATCACTTTCAAATAACTTACAACATAGAATTAACAGGTGTACAAATCTGAACCATATTACTTCATGCCAGATATTCTAATTGGGTTAAATATAAAGTATTCTTTATTCTACGGTATAAAACCCATGGTCACATTTCTTTACTTGATTGAATATCATTGTCTTCTGACAAAGAGTTGTCGCTGAAAAGTCTGATGATGTTTCCTTATTAATGACTAATTATTTTATTTAGATGCCCAGAGGATTTTTCTGTCTTTAAAACGTCTGACAAATGAGCTGCTTGGTAAAGGTTCCTGAGTCAATCCCCACAGTATGTGGCACACCACTAAAATAGCCACATTTTCTATTTCAGGATTTCCTAATTTATCACGCTTAGCATTTGCTTTCTTGCACTGTCCTGGTCTTGAACTCAAAGATTCCCATCAGGTGTGACTGGCTCTTTACCCCTCTTCCATATCTGTCACTTTCTGTCACAGCTCTTTCCACGTTCCCTCATTTTTAAATTGTTTTATTTCCAACTTGTATTTTCTCAAGACCTTATCTGTCATATGTGTTCACTTGGTGCGGCACCTAGCGCAGCCTTCTGAAATGCTCTGATCTTCTGTGTCTCAGTCCTGAGCTCTAACCTGCCTCTCTTTAAGTCGTTCTGTTCTCCAGACCCTTCAGGGTGGGTTTTCCAAATTGCGGTTGACGCTGCGCTCCAGTTTCTCTCGTTTTCTCGCTTCCATTTGTCCCGTTGTGAAGCATGGGGCCGCTGTTTCCCTTGTTCTGGGTTCTGTCTTTGCATCGTGCACTCACTGTCCATCGGGAAGTTGGGCTGACCCTAATCTCCTTTTTCTGAGGCATTTTTGAGGATCCAACTGTTTTCTTGGGTTTTGGTCTAATTTTTGAGTGAACTGAGAGGGTGGGCACAGACCCTCCAGCTGCTCTCTGGCTCCCTCTGCTGGTAGGTCCACACAGCGCCAGAAGACCAGCCCTGCAGTTTCTAAAATCTTCCTACTGTGTGTCTCTTCCCATTCTCATTCTTACTTTCTCTTTCCTTTTCCACATTTTCCCCGCTCAATTCAACTTGATTCCGTGCTCAGCAGTTTTCCCAGAGTTAGGTTTGCCTTTCAGTTTCTAACTTTTCACAGAAAACAAAATACATTTCAGTGTCTGCACTGCGGTGCTCCCGGCTGCCCGGGACAGCTTCTGCTCCCGCCCACGGCTCGCAGAGAGATTCTGCGCCACGGCCCTGTGCCTGCCGGTCCCTCACAGATGTGGACGCCACTCAGGCTGTAAACCCAGTGCCGCCTGGCCCCATTTGTACCTGGATGCATGAGGCGCATGGGTTTTGTGGCAGGATCCTTGTGCGCATGTGTACTGACGAGCTCGCAGGGGAGCTCCATCCCAGAAGTCCTAGATGAGGCCTCCTTTAACGGGCACAATAATAAAAGGTACACGGCTGTGCGCTGGGATAGCAGCAATGTCCAATAAAAACAATCAGACTACAGCACAGTTATGGACTAATGTTCCTGTCCTTGCCCAAAATTCTTCTGCTGAAACTCTAACCCCCAAGGGGATGCCATTTGGAGGTGGGATCTAGAGTTTAGGGGGGGTCATGCGGGAGGGGCCCTGAGGATAGGATTAGTGCCCTTAGAGAGAGACCCTTCCCCTGGAACTGAACTAGTCAGCACCTGACCTGGGACTTCCCAGCCTCCTGAAGTGTGAGGAATAAATTTCTGCTGTTTCCGCCGTCCCAGTCTGTGGTGTTCTACTATAGCAGCCTGAGCTGACCAGGACACGGGGCAATGCTGATCAAACACTGCATGAATGGTAAGAAGGGTTAACTAAAAAGGAGGGAAGGAGGGACAGAAGGAGGGAAGGGAAGTTGGGAAGGAAGGAAGTTAGCGGACGATTCCCTCAGTATTTCATAGGAATTGGGAACAGAAGATTCCCACAGCGGGATGATTAATGAGGTGATTACGCTGAGACCACAGGATAAGAGATGGGGGAAATGTCATCAAAAGCAGTATCTAAACCGGGCGTGGTGGCACACGCCTGTAATCCCGGCACTCTGGAGGCTGAGGCAGGAGGATCGCTGTGAGTTTGAGACCAGCCTGGGCTACATAGTGAGTTCCAGGTCAGTCTAACTACATAGTGAGACCCTGTCTCAAAAAAAAAAAAGCATTATCTAATAACAAAGACATCCTTATGACAAGAAGTTGTTACTTACTTTATCACAGAAGACTTTGATCTGGCAATACGCCCTATGGATGGGTTTATTGCTACGATTATTGTAACTGTAGGTATCAATCTGAATCATCAGCGGGAGTCCTTTCACCCCTTTTTGGGAGGAGAAGTCTGTGCTCAGACAGTTCACGGTGATGAAAATCTGAGGGAGGCAGAGGCAGAAAGTCCGTAAGTCACAATACAGAGGGTCGGCAAAGCAGGCCTCAGCCACAGATTGATGTAAAACCTCTGACAAACCTACGAGGACGGCTGGAGAATACGCCAGCTCTCTCACACCCAACCTGCTGCACGCATACAACGTAACGATACTCGTAGTTCATAACTGCAGCCAGTTCTGATTTCTGTTACACTTGAAGAAACCATTTCTATTACATCCTGAAGAGACCATTCTGAAGAGACTTTCACACACGAATACGGTCTGACTTGTCTTCTTAAACAAGTGTCAGTGGGTCAGGGAGACATTGTCCTTTCTGCACATTAAGTTAAAATGGGGAAGTCAGTTTCCAGATAAATACAGCTAGAGAACACCTTTCTTCACACACTACTGTGCTAAGGCCTAGTGTCGCGAAGCATGAGCTGAAAATCATTAGTGTTTTGGCTTCCTGGCACCCAGACAGTGGTAGCAGGGAAGGGGGATGCAGTAAGCATTTGGGGCAGGGGCACGAGCAGGGAGCCCCCTAGGTTGGGAGTCAGCTGAGCTTTGGCCCCAGCTGCGGTAGGAACCAGCGAAGAGACCTTTCAATTTTCCATTGAAATCGCCTTTACGATCTGCAGGACAGAATGCAAATACCAACACACTTCCAGGTTAGGGAGATGGTGAAAGAGCGCCCGGCAAAGGTAAGGCCAGAAAAGGAGGGAGGAGGTACAGGGACAGCTTCAGCATCCCGCGTGGGGGTCCGGAAATGATGTGACTCCCAAGGAGAAACTCAAGTGCGTTATCGAAGACTTCGGCACCGACTAACAAAAGCACGAGGAACAGCTTATCCTAAAACACTGGCAGGGTGCGGGTGCTCGTGGGCCGAGTTCCTCCCCACCGTGCTCTCAGTGGCGATCCACAGGGCCACCGAACCCCCAAGCCGCAGGCCGCAGTGGGGCGACCCTGTACTTGAGAGGCGCTCTTCGGGACAGCCGGGCACGCCACCCTTCACAGCTGGCTCTGCTTCCACCCCACACCCCGCGGATTATTTCTTAGACCAAAGTTTCAATCTCTTGTTGCTTTACATTGTATAGTTACGTGTTCTAAAAGTCACGTCATCAGACGCTCTAGCTAGCTGTTGTCGCTCTGTTGTCCTCTCTAACCCAGAGCTCCGGGTTTCCTTCAGACCCTGAGCCCACAGCCCTCTGTGCTGCAGCGACACCACGAAGAGCCACGTGGGGAAGTGGCAGCCCAGCACGAGCTCCGTTTTGGATGTTTTATCTCACTACCAAACCTGATCTAATTTGCTTCAAGCCCTGTGGGCTTTGGGGAAGTTTACACGACCAGGCGCCCCTGGTTTGCCTCTCTGCAAACGTCATTTTCCTCGGGTTGTATTTCATCCACACACAGTTGCCGGGCCTAACGACCGACCGCACTGCACATGCAGAGGAGGAACACACGCGGCACCTCTCAAGCGCTTCTCAACTCTCCGTGCCTTCCCCTCCCCGGGCCACACACACACCCTACTTCCTGTTGCCTATGCGCTCCCCTCTGGACAAGAAGAAATGGGTCAGTGAGGCAGACAGGCTGCCCGGCTGGGCTGCTAACTTGGGGATCCAACACCCGGGGGACCACGCCCACCCCGGGCTTGGGGCAGGGCCTCTCTGATACCTGAATGGCAAAGGCATGGAGCAAGAAAAGTCGCAGCTGCCCGGTGATGAGAGGGACTCAGTCACGTGGGCCTCTGGGGAAGAACGCACCGCAACCCTCGTCCCTGCCAAGTGCCCAGGGTGAAAGCATTTTATCCGAGTCCCCCACACAGAAAATGCTCCTGGAGCTCCTGAGCGCCCCCGGTGGCTGAGGAGTTCGTTTAACACCTGCTCCTGCGCTCATCTGGGTGCACACTGGCGGGCTTCACGCTGGCAGATCCGTGCGTGCACAGGACACGTTCTGACCGTTCTTGGGAGGCATCTGAATGCCTTCTACCACCCTGCCACCGTGCTGGCCCCAGCGCCCCAGCTATGGTTCCTGCAGTGGCAGAAGCCCCAGGTGAGCTGGAGCAGAGAGAACGGTGCTCCAACCGTCCCGATGGAGCTGCTGAGCGCGCTGCTCCGGGTCCTCTCCTAGGACACCTGCCATCACCACTGCTGTCTGCAGCTGCTGACGTGGTGGACAAGGAGACTCGTGGAGAGGCGGCTGGCTCGGGGCTGCTGTACCCACCTGGGGGAACCCACACGTGTCCACACTGCAGCTGCTGTCCGGAGGCAGGTGCAGGCAGAGGTCCTGGGTGCTGCCTCTCTGCCCCCAGCTGCCCGACGCCCGAGCAGCTTCATCGTGGTTCTGCCTTGGAGCCAGCAACCACAGACTGAGCCTCCTGAGCCAAATGCCCTCTCTGTCCTCGGAGGAGCGCCCCAACCCAGCCACTGTGGAGGCGGCCTTTGAAGGTCCATGGGCTGCCCACGCCAGACTCCATTGGCGACCCGAGGGCCCTTCAGGGAAAGGTCCCGGGTGTACTGGCCGCTGCCCACGCTGTCCTAGGGCAGGGATCTTTCCGCTGCGTTGGCCTCATTTTCCTCTCGCCGGGGGGGAAGAAGGCGCAGTGCTGGTGCCTGGTGGTACCCATCGGTCTCGCTGCGCTGCCTCCAAAGCCGATTGGCTGTACTTTAACTGAGGGTGGAGGTGGCACGGGGAAGGCACAGGAGCAGGGAGCCCAAGTCCTCAGGCTGGCCACGGAGAAGCACGAAGCTGCTTCATCTGCAAACCCGACCGTGCAAATGGGAGAGCAAACTTCCTGGAAGTTGTTCTACAAAGTGCTTGTGGGCCCATGTGCATCAGGGCCTTGGGAAAGGGCTCAACCGAGGGAAGGTCATGCTGGTGCCAGGCACAGAAGCTCTGAGCTCCGCCAGCAGCCTCGATGGGTAAATGTACAGAAAGGCCGTGGACAGCTGATCTGACTCCTGAGTTACAGATGCTGCACACTTCCATGCGGTATTTTCAAACCTCAGCTACCTGGATTCCCGTCACTCTAGTGACATTTTTTATTGTTTCAGAAAAACAAATTGAACCAAGTCTATTCAGACATAAACAGATACCACTGTCACAGGCTGACTCAGGTTGTTTCTAAATGTACCAAGACCTTTCCCAGAAGGAGCAGCAGTCTTGTGATACACAACATGTTTTAATAAAAGCATCTATCTGTTACGCAAGAATGACAACTCTTGCTTTGTAGCTCCTACTCTGGGAAGCAATTGTAGTAGGTTTGGAATACCTTGCAGTCATGTACTAGGTGTGTAGAAGGATTTATTAAAATTAATACAAATCAATGAGCTTTAGAGTTGATGCATTAACTTAATATTCTTTGGTAATTTCTTGGGGGAGGAATGTTCTGGGGATGGAACCCAGGGCCTCACACAGGCCGGGCAAGTGCTCTGCCACTGAGCTACATCCGTGCCACAGTGCCTTGACCATGAACTCCCAAGATCCTTCTGATGGTTTTCCATGAAAAGAAAGGGGCCAACCTTTGAGTGACTTAGAAAATAATCTAGGATCTGAAAGTTATAACCATGACTTGCTGTAACACATTTATTTGCCTTTTCAAACAACCGCATTTTGCACTTTTAAGAAGATTATTCCTATGAAGAACTAAAAAAGCTGCTTGTTTTTTAACAAATGGGACTCTGAAGAGTAAATGCCACACATGGCCTCCAAATCACAGGCACAAGGCACACATCCACAAATAGCGGCTTCAACGCCACAGGCATGGACGCCTTCCTCTCTCACAAAAACATAAATGAGTGTGCATGCTACTGCAGCCCTCTGCTCTGCTCTGCTCCCGGTTTGGGGGCTTAGCACCTTGCAGACAGTTTCCTATATTTCATTGTTTTTCTTCCCTTGGGCAAGACTGTACTTGTGTGCAGACAGGATGGTGAGCTGAGACAGGTGACCGACCAAAAGACAGGAACACAGCCCTAGGCGCTACTCACCCACTCCCCGCACTGATTCGCTTCGTTCACCGAGCAGATTCAGGGTCTTCTCTCAGTGCCCGGCCAGGAGGGGGATGCAGGTGACAAGACGGACTGCCTGCTGTTCTGCTGAGGGTCTAAGATTAGCCTTCCTGAGCTCCCAGGTACGCAGCACTCTGGGAAACCAGTATGTGTGTTTATCTTTCTTCTGATGAGACATTCCGTACCCCTCCCGGCCCCGTGGGACACACATACGCACACATGTACCTCCGCCCGACCCTGTGGCTCTGCCCCCACAACACGACGTGCGCGTCCTGCATTGGCCTCTGCCCTCCGCCCAGGCTCTGCCCGCTCTGCTGCCTCCGCAGGTCCTTGCGTTCTGGATCCTCCTCTGACCCCGGCCCCGTGTGGACTCTCGGGTGTCCCTGCCACATCCACCACACACCTCGCCCTGTCCACTCCCACCCAGGGCACGATCAGCAACACGTCCACCAGATCTCTCCCCTCACAGCTGGGACACTGGTGGAGTCCGTCATGTTTATGTCCTGTTTTGTGATCTCTGCTCCATGAGGCTAAAAAGTCTGCCTCGTGTTCACTGGAATGTACAGGGCTGTGGCAGATAAGCAGCAAATAAATGTTTGTTTAGTGAGTTAAGAGAACATGAATTAGTTTTTTAAATATGAATTTCTCTATCCATGTTCTTGCTTTCAAAGTCATACTTAAGAGCTGAGACTGAAGTCTAACGCAGTGCTGTGTTAGGAGCTCTTAATGGGTTTATCCTCTGGAGATGTTTCCTATCCATCGATCCATCTATCCACCTACCCACCTACCTGCTACATAAATTGAGCACTGACTACATATTCAGCAAGATTATCTATCTGCCTGTCTATCCATCCATTTGTCCTTCCTTCCACCTTGTCTATCATCCATCCATCCACCCTTCCACTCTACGAAAGATTTTATATATACAGGCACTACGGGTCCTGCCCTCAGGCAAAAGGGTTCTTTTCTATTTATTCACTCTTCCGCTCCTCTGTTCACTAC